CTGGATTGAAAGTCTAAGTTCAAAGCAGAGATATAATAAAAGTACTAGGAATATGCTGTAAAGTTAGTATTGGGGTCTGGATAAACTCTGCAAGAGTAGTCTGTATTAGTGTTCTAAAAATGAGTAGATAGTTAACAACAGGAGGCTCTCTGTATCTTATTGGCAGGTGACATACTCTAAAATGTGTAATGACCTGAGAACCAGTACAAAAAAAGTAAGTACCATACTGCTCAGATGGTATACTGGTTAGGTATATATGAGGAGTTAGTTGGAGATTCCAATATGACAGGGTGGATGATTAAAAGGTTTAAATAGATAATCTTCTAGTAGGTTATAGGTACAGCAACTAATATAGAACCTTAGAGTGGACTACTTAAATAGGCAACCAAAAGTTGCATGTGTAACTAGCTGTATTCTTATCTCTGTAAAAATAGTTGTAATAGCTAATCTGATATAAAGTCAATAAAGTATTATTACAAGTATGGTCTTTAACAAAAAAAAAAAAAAAATTTCTCTATATATATGAAATATTATATTTTGTATAAATACTTTGAACTTTCATTTAAGATAATATTTCTAAGATTACAAATCATCTTTTCAATCTAACCAATTAACAAAACAAGTTACTATAACACAGATATAATTTTTAAATATTATTATCTATAGGATTTAAATACTAAACTTATTATTTAAAGATTGACAATCTGTTTGCTTTACTAGATCATTATATCTTTTTATATTAATAATATTTTATTATAAAGTAAAGTTAAATAAATTATAATTTTAGTTTTGTTTGAATTAGTGCAACAAGTTATATTTAAATACTGTTAGAATTGCTAAATATTGTAATGTAAAAATAAAAAAGTTTTCACTTTATATACAATTTTATATTTGTGAAATTGCTAATTATTTATAAAGTTAATAAAATTAATAATTTGAAGTTACATTTTTAATGTTTTGTAAATCTTATAACAGATAAAAACTAAGCAAAATGTGACAATTATGATCACTTTAACAAAACAAAATATTACAAATCTCTTTATAATGGTTTGTAAGTAATGTTTAATGCAATTTTAGATTGTTAGAATTTAATTTTAAAAAGGTTTGCAAAATATCAAAAATGTAACTTCTGATCATTAATTCCACATAATGACGTTAATTTCACACCCCAACCTAACAAACGAACTTTTACTGCGCCACAAACCTGGCACACAATGAAGAATTGCGTGAAATTGACATATCGTTAAATATTCAACGAAACCTTTTTATTGGTAGAATGAATGTTTCAAATCTTCCTGATTGTGTTACGTTACACCTAAGCTTGAAATCTGTGTACGTACATATTTCCGATATGCGTGACACAATTCTACTTTCGTATAATTGACTGTTTAAATCAAGCTTTATTAGAGTTGTAGGACTCCACTATTATTGTATAAAGATAATCAAAATCTCTTTTTGTTTTAGAGAAGTTAGCATGCTAACTTCTCTAAACCCAGAAATGATTTTGATTATTTTTAATGGTTGAGTCCTATAACCCTAATAAACCTTTTTATATGCTTCTTATTGTTTATTCTTCGTAGTTTTAATTTTTTTTTTAAATTGTATAAATAAATAATGTAAAATTAAATTGATTTAGACAGCCAATCATACGAAAGTCTTCCTATGGGTCCGTAGACTTGGCGCACTTTGGAGGACCGCCCTGGCTGCATCGTTAAAGTTTCGCCAAATTTAGTTACTCAAATACAATAAATTTATTGATAACGATTTAAACTTTAAAGATATTCTGTAACGGTAATAATCAGAAAGTTTGATGGCTTTAAACTCGAATTGCGCTTCATTATTTGATAATTTATAAAAGTTTAAATGCAATATATAAATAAGTATTTTTCAAAGGCACTAAGTGAACAAATCTCTATCTTTTGCAGTCTGATATTGGCATAAAAAATTTGATTAAAATATATGCGTTCAATCAGAATACAACTCACATAATGTCACTTGACCTGCTCGTGAATGTCACGTGTGAAACCGCGAACCAGAGAGTAAACGAGATTTTTGTGACAGAAGAAGTTTGTTTTTCAGAGCATAAACTTTTGTTCAACAATGATATTCGTGGTGAAAGCTTGGCAAATCTTGGGCGGCCGCGCGTATGGTCTCAGGTATTATTTCATATGCACAGATACTATTTTAAATGTAACGTTACAATAATATACGCTTTATTGTCTATTTTTATTAAGACGCGTCAAGAGCTATGCGAAAGCGTCCCATATTTTCGTAATTGGCAATCTGGGGTATATTTCAAAGAAGGAGTAACTTATGGTTACCTTGTTGATGGGTACGGCGCGATGCGCGATGTCTGTAATGGTCGCGTAATTATTTCTCATGGGCAAGTAATCATGATATTCTTAGCGTTGCCAACATTTATTTGGTATTAAACAACGAATGAGTTATCGCAATTTCTTACAGTCTTTGATGAATTACAGTGGTGGAAAATCATGTAGACGCCAGGATGGAAGTTTCGGTCTTTTTGCCTCCCAACTCTTGACCGATGCATCTGTATGCGCGTTAATCAAAAATTATATTAACAAACAGCCGTTGGCAGTTATTGTTGGAAATAAAAAGAATGCTGAGTTTAAAGTTCCGGCTCGCTACTGTGTGATGGGGTGAGTTGAACAATGTATATATTTTATATATTTTATGATTTGTATTAATATCATGTATTTCTTTATTAGGTTATATTATATAACTCACGCCTGGGTTTGTGGTTTAACTACGTTCTAAGTGGTCATCATTTGAATTTCAGATGAAGTTTGTTCTCATAATGGCCTAATCACATTAGCCAGAATATGAGCTAACCGAAAATAACGATGATCTTACTGACGAGGAAAACATCTTGAATGGGAATGATACAGAACATAGAACTAAGACTAAGCATGAGTGCCCATTTATTCGATGGAAATTTCGATTTGAATGGGTTCCAGATCAAGAATTCCCTCCCTGGTGGGAATCACCTAGTCAAAGGCTTATTTATTCAACTATTTTACCGGGTGCTTTGAGAGTCTTTTTATGCCCTGAATGCAAAGCTCCGTCATCAAAAATTTATAAAACAGTATGGATATGCTTAAATCATAAATGCAACCGTTTTTGGCAGGTACAGTATTAAATTTTATGATTATTGTTATTTTAACAGTTGGTTTTATATTTCCTATTTTCATTATTAAATACAGGCATGGTCTGATCAAAATCAATGGATTAAAGTACCAAATAATCTCATCTATGATCCTGTGTTTCTCAATCCTGGTCTAACTACTCGTGATCAATTACATCGCATACCATTTTCAATATTGCCACCACAACCTCCAAGCACGTTAAATAATGACATAACAAATTCTTGTGCCCTATATGGTGTTCAATATTGGAAAGGCTTTCATTGCCTCCGATGTGGTCGAGTTTCTTGTCGTGATAAGTGGGCTTTTTGGGAGTGTGCAAATTGTGGGGTATGTCATCTTCTATACAGTTCTCTATATGTTTTTCTTTAATACGTTAACCTTATTCCATTTCTACGTGCTAATGATGTAAAGTTAAAACATGAAGCACCAGAACAGCTTCTTTTCCCTTCGATGTTGCGCAATCCAAATCTCCCTGTTTTAATCGGGCCTGCTTTCGATTATGATTCGTGTATTAAAGACAATAGTGGGATTACCAAGACTAGAGAAGTGTCTGCGGAAGGCGCCGTTGTCTGCAAATATTACTTTCCTGAAGGTGGTTATATTATACATAGGATTGGGAATAGCTCTATAAATAAAATATCGGATCAATTTTTCATAAAATTCCAACGGAAAGATTTACCGTTTAAAAGGAATATTTTAAAAAAAGGCTACAATAGAAGTAAATTACTTTAATTTATTATTACTTTATTTACTTTGATCTTATTTACACTATTAATGAAAATTCTATAGTCGGATCGCAGTTAATAGCTCGCCAGTTCACCATGAATGTCGGAGCAAAATATAAATTCTCGTTGGAATGTGACACATTGATGTTCGAAGAAACTCCGCAAATCGTTCAGGATTGCTATAAATATATACACGAAATGTGCAATTCGTTTATTGAAGGCGTTAAGTTTAATGAAATGCTACTAGCGGCATATTTAAATGATCAGCGTGTGAATATATATATATATTTTTTGGTTTTCAGTTGTCAGTCCATTATTTTTAGTACTAATCATTATATTATACCGTACTTCTCATCATAAGATGTCGTGGCACGGTAAGGAAATATTGTTCAAACTTATCATTGATTATAGGGAAGGTAATTATTTTATCATCCTAATAGATGATGGCGAAAAAGGGGTCGGTCCAATAATTGGGAACTTATCCCTCGGAGCTTCCGCTGAATTGAAATTTCGAAGGAAAAAACGGAAGGCATCAAAGAATTTATCCGAAAAAGATTGCACGGATGACATATCTGTTGGGCCAAGTGATCCTTCTAATTTTAACAAAGATGCCTCTGAAGAAAGGCTACCGCTACCATATACGATTTTTACGCCATCATCTCCATACATGCCAATTGACGCGTTGGAGTTGGGCCTAAAATCACGTGGAACAGGCCCAGAATTGATCCTGAAGATCCATCATGGTGATTTGTTGATTATGGTTGGACACGAAATCCAACAAAACTATGAACAGTAAGTTTATAAATAATTCGAATTATGTGAATTTATAATCTTGTTAACGATATATACATTTATGCATTTTAGTGCTCTATTTCCTGAAGGGTTTAGGATCGCAGCAACAGTACGATATATTGTGTTGGATGATGAAAATCATAAATCTACATAATTTATTCATTTCTATTTTTCAGATTGCACAAATTAGTTTTTGTTCTAAAAAATAGCTTGGAATTTAACATAACCAAAAAGCGTGTAATTAGAGATTGGCTTTAAGTTTTGTATTTAACAGTATATATATATATTCCGATCTGTAAATGCATTTTATTGTATTTAGGTTATTTGTGTGTAACTGATTGCTAGTACGGTATATATATACATTGTTTTTGAAACTTATTTTAGTTGCAATAATCTTGTAAAGTAATTGTGGCGGATTCTAGTTGGTAGTTCACAAAAATTTTCCTTTCGTGATTTTTATTCAATTAGATCGAAAAACCAGGTGTAATAAAATCTTTAGGGTTAGAAGAGTCTCCATTTGCGATAGCATAATCTGCGCATAAATCAGATTATAGCATTCTGTATTTACGTCTAAAATAGATCATTAATTTGAACCAATCAAAATTAAAGTAGTTTTTTACTCTTATCTATATATGAACTTTTCTGTGTCCCTGCTTTGCACATTGCACTTCTAATCTGCTGACCGTTAGTTGCCACGCAACGTAGCCTGGATCTTTAAGAGAAACATTTTCTCACCCTTGTCACCGTAGTTATTACGTAACAATGTCTGGTTCTGTTGGGAATCAGAGTGGTAATTAGCAGTAGGATAGTTTTGGATTCAGAGTGGTAATTTTGCAGCGCAGAGGAAAACCCTTCCCACACTTGCGTTATCGTAGTTGCCACACAACATCGCCTGGATATTTAAGGGTTCAGAGTGGTAATTAGTGGTAGGTTTGCAGGTCTTACACAGGAATATTCCAAGCAATGAATTTATGAGAAACTTTTTGTGATTTAGTATTAGTATAATAACTCTCATGCTTCACTAACAAAAAGAATGGTCAGTTTGGATGAAACCTTTATTCTTCTACCTATTTCATCAACTACTTCTATTATAACTCTCATTTATGAATTTATATTACTACAAAAAAGATATTTGATCATTAGGAAAGTTTTTTGTAACCATGGTTCTTATCGAAGATTTTTTTATAGTGAGTGTAAATTGTTAAAGTACGCTTTTACATTGGATTCGATTATTAGTTTTGCAAGGCCAGAAATCGATTCATCGAAATGTACTATTACGGCCAAGTATTTACATCTTAATCATGTCTTTGGAGCTTTTGCCAAAAAATAAATTGTTGACCATTATTTCTGATTACAGGATTCTGAGAAATTTATTATACTTGCAGAAAGCAGGAACTTAAACTTTCTGCAGGGCTCTGTAACCTGGCTCGTGCCTGCGTTTAACAAAAAAATAGGCATGGACATGGGCATAAAACATAAAAACTTAGTTACAGGCATAAGCATTAGGGTGGGGCACAGAGCTTATGGGCATGCCTTTAAACTAGGGTTCTGCATGTGCCATGTCAGGCACTAATGCCTATGGCATACTTGTGCCTATAGGCACAACAGTGCCAGTTTAAAAAGTTCCAGGTACTTTAATGTTATGTCTAAAAATGCCAGGCATTTCGCATTTTGGAATCATGTTTAACAAGTACCAGACACTTTGGTGTCATGCCAAAAAAAGTGCTGAGCACTTTGGTGTAATGTCTAAAAAAGTTTCAGACACTTGATGCCTATAATAGTGACTGGCCTCGTATCAGATAATATTATTTTTAAAAAAAATTTTAAAACTTAATTTTAATAGAGTTTTACAAATGTTATGTTAGACAAATTGGCATTATGTTAGATATTAATGTTTTATGTCATGTTCATATTTATAGACTCAAAAGTGTCAGAAATTATTATAAACATGAGCATAAATGCTAGCATTTTTATAAGCATTAATAGTACTTTATAAGCATAAGTACAATATATTAAACAAAAAGATATTAAAAGATGTTAAAAACAAGTGTCAAATGGTATTAAATATATAATTAATTAATAAATATTAAATTTTTTGTATTATAGAATATGGTAACTTAGTAAAGTGAATAAGTTGTCAACTTCCCAAGTGATAGGTTAGATATTCAAATCTTATCAATAACAAAAATTTAAATAATTGCTTATATAATACTTATATTATTGTAACTATTTTTAATAATTGAATTAAAATACCTGTAATAGTGATTATATCAGCATGATTAGCAGATTATAAAGCATTTGTGTAACTGATTATACAGAGAAATGCAAACTAGTATCAAGTAGTATAAATTCTAGATAAGTTCTTATAATCATATAAATCTGTTAAAATTATAAAACAAGAAGTTCATTTGAGAAAACCTGAATAGAAAGTTATTATAAATCTTTAATAATATTATTGTAAAGACTAGATCTAAGAAATATATATTAATATTAAAATACTTAAATAGACAAGAACTTTTAGATAAAAGGTATTACTAATAAGGCTGCTAAAATAAACTAAAGAAAAAGAATATTGAGTTAATCTGATATACTGATGAATTAATTATAATTTTATATAGATTATCTAAATTGGAAGTCTGAAAAATAAACAGAAATATATTAAAGTATTAATAATATGTTATGAAATAGATGTTAGTATTTAAGTAAACTTTATAATATCATAACAATTAAATGATATAATTCTAATTGTAAGTATTAGTTTTGCATAATGATATCTAAATCAGTTATAAAAATAAATACAAAAGGCTTTAAAAGATTTATTTTAAGAATAAAATAATTCTAAAATTAAGATAATAATCTGAATATAATATAATAATAAAATACAAATTCAGATTAAAGAGTTTAAAATAGAATATCAAGCAGAGGTGTTAGATATAACAATTGGTAAAGAACCTTTGAATAAACTTCTTAAATAGGCAATATAAAAAGTTATATATATAGTTAATTATATTCTTTTTTTATAATAATTCATAAATCATATTATTAAAAAAGTTGTTAATAAAAATCAAAAGACTAAAATAGTTATCTTAAAAAAAATTTGTACTTATATTTATACTTATACTAAGTTTTGTATTTATATTTATATTTATACCAAATTTTTGTATTTGTATTTAAATTTTTTATATACATTAGTATTTATAGTCATGTTTAAGTTTTTATATTTTTTTTTATACTTAAATTTTTATTGTTATAAATTCAAACTTAGATCACAAACCTCTAATAATTTTTTTTAAATATTAAAATAAGTACTTGTGATCCAGAATTTTATTAATAGTACATTCATCTAATAGTTGAATTACAATCACAAAGGTTAATTATAGAAAGAGTATACAACTAATCACTTGTATATTTTAGTTATTATCTAATTTAAGTAGTTCATCTAAAGGTTGTATACTAGTTGTTATATTTAAAATTTGCTTTTAAGTTTTTTATTTAAACATTTTAGTTCCTATATTTATCTATCTATTTATATCTATCAATAATTCTAATTAATACTAATAAAAATATATTATAGTTACTAAGTCTTTAAAGCAATTTATTTATATAAAAAACCTTTAATCTTGTATTAAACCTTTCAGAATCTTCTGTATTTTATTTTTATAGCTAATTTAATAATATTATAGCTAAAACTAATACTTACAATTATTAAATTGCTATGCTCTTATAGAGTTCACTCTAATCCTAGTACTTAATTTATAATATATTTCTATTACTTTGGTATTCAATTCAAGTTTTACAAGCTTTCAGTTCAAATAGTTCAAAAAGATAGATATAATTATATTTCTGGTTTATATATTCTTCTAATATGTAACTTTTTTTTCAAAACAGATTCTGGCAGTCTGGTTGATTATAATAGTTTCTTCTTAAAAACTAACTTGTCTTTATTTGGCTTTACAAGTTTTAGTTTTATTTTATAAATCTAGTCTTTATAGTAGTATTATTAAAAATTTAGGCTACCTCTACTTAGGTCTTTTAAATAGACTTCTGTCTTTTTGATTTTTGTGATTTATACAACTACAAAGATTTATTACAGATTCATATTGCCTAGTACTAGTTTGTGTTTCTTTGTACAAGATATAACTATTACATGAATGCTATATAATCTTTTAGTCATACTAATATAACACAGGTAACAAATATTTGACTTTAACCAATAACAGAACATAGTTAACTATAATATAAAAAGAATTTCAAATTTTTATTAATATTAAAATCTGAACTCTAGATCTGCTATTTGAAAGTTGATAATATAATTATTTTACTATATTATTATACTTTGCAAATCTCTAATATATTTTTTTTTAGTGTTAAAATGACCTTTTTGGTCTTTTAATTTTATTAATACTTTTGTTAAGCATCATAATAAGTATACAACTGGCTATATATATAACTTTTTTATATTAACTATTTAAAAAGTCTGCCTAGGAGTTTTCTATCAGTTGTTATATCTAACATTACTGCTTAGATGTTTCATTTAAATCTTCTAATCTGAAACTTTTGTATTAACTTTACTAGGTCACTTGTATCTAAATTCTTGTTTTAACCTTAAAACAATTTTATTCTTGAAAACAAATCTATTAAAGTGAGCTATACATTTTTTATTTGCTGCTAATCTGGATTTTTTGCTATAATCAAGACCAATACTTGTAGTTAGAGTTATTTATTAAATTACTATTATCTTTTTAAAGTTCATTCAAATTCTGATACACATTTTTCTAATGTTTTTTTTATTATTCTTTACTAACTGTAACTCCAAACTAATAGACTCATTAGACTTCCAATTTAGATGACCTAATATAGTATACTTATATATTCTTTTTCTTTAGTGATTTTGGCAGCCTGGTTGTTTATATGCTC